TTTTGGAACTAGCAAAAGAGGCGTTGGATGAGATGCGGAAGAAATAATCCTACTCACAATAGCGATTTAAGTACAAAAACCGGACGAATCCCTTTAAATATATCACCTGATCGATGTCTTGAGGTGTGGTAACTGTAGTATAAGCGGAATAATTGACTCCAGGCCGTTGAATTATTAGAAAAATAATGCACACCCACACGTCAATTATTCCTTACGTAAATGGTGTAATTATTCAGCATTTCATTAAAGAATAAATAGTTCAGTAGAATATTCACCCACATTTCTGTTGGTGTTTTATTTCAAGAAAGAAAGGCATATTTTGATAGCGGACTTGTGAAATGTTTGTAAAGAGTCTGGAAACCAATAAACAGAATATATAGATTAGAGGATGTTTGGATATAACATATATACTGTATAGTGCAATGTATGGCTGCATGATTTGGGGGGAAAAATGAATTGTGATTTATTTTGTGAATTTGTGATTCTGATAAATATTTCAATTACGGAAAAAAATGCTGGCCCTTTTTAAAAAAAATTTTTAGGGCTGAACAATTTGACCAAAATGTTGTGATTACATATATAGTATCAATATGGGTATGACCATGTTTGCTCTGTTTGTTTGTAGTCAATCTCAGTCTCAGAAAATATTACTATTGTAATATTCACTATAGAATCTATAAACTTATATTGCAGAGTTTATGATTTGAGAATTGCAGTAAGCCATATTGAGATTTTGGTTTTATTTTGATTAGTCGTGCAACCTTAGTGCAATCTATGGTGTGGTTTTATTACTCAAAAGGTAGACCGAAACAAAGGCTTGTGATTTATTCCAGATGGATGCTGGTGTTAGTGAACTCTGTAAATGTGTTTTGTGAACTGACGCAAGCAGTGAATATGAGGGGAGCATTTTCACAGTCTGCTTCCCTGAAAAGTGTCTGCCGGTGGCTGTGATGAACATATACCCACGCACGCAAACATACATGTGCATGAGCTCGCGGCGCATGTAATCGTCTCTGGGCCTGATACAGTAAGCGAGATTGATGTATTCTGACACTCGCCTCGTTCCCGCAGCGCTTCGAATCAGACGCTTTCACGGCTCGTGTGCCTGTCGTTCCCTGAGCTCCAGACTCCAGCGGTTCCTCTGATTATCATCAATAATGGAGACGAGTGAGCGTAGGCACGCTTTCACGTGTGGTGGCCTTACGAAATCTTATTCTGTACACACATACACACATAATTCAGCCTGAGTATCAACATGACAGTGTGAGCATTTCACTCGCATTTGAGACCAAAAATAGATGTACAATATTTTTAGGTGCCTGTGTGCGAATGAACCAAATCACTGCAGGTATTTAAAAAGTCTTAAATATCTTAAATTGTAAAACAAACATCTTCATTATCATTTTAAAGAGGTTTTAAATTTGAGGAAGGAATTAAATTATTTACAGACTAATGTGATTATTAACTTCAAAGAACTATGATTTAACCTTCTGGGATTGTTCGTTTAGGAGTCACACTCTTGGTCAAAACAAACCGGAGACCATAATCATATAAAGTGTTTATTTTTATGAAATGCATGAACTACGTTTAATTTCAGTAATGTTTCTTTTTTTAATAATTGGTAATTTTGAGGTGACTTCACAGTTCTAAGCAATATTCATATTGAAATTATGGACCATTTATTTCTATATAAATAAACACATTTTCTACTTTTTTCTCAGTTAATATATATCCAATTCATTTTCTATGGAGGTCATTTCTGACCGTGAACAAAACAAGTATAACTGTTTATTTATTTATATATATATTTGGTAACACTTTAGTATAGGGACCAATTCTCACTATTAACTAGTTGCTTATTAGCATGTCTATTATTAACGTATTGGCTGTTTATTAGTGCTTATAAAGCACAAATTCTGCATGATCATATTCTACATCCCTAATCCGACCCAATACCTAAACTCAACAACTACCTAACTATTAATAAGCAGCAAATTAGGAGTTTATTGAGGAATTTGATACATTTTTATTGTGCCCCTTAGGATTTTTAATGCGCTCCTAAATTTTTACCTTGTCTTGTTTCATGTGATGAACTTTGCAACACTGAGACTGTCATTGAACTGAACTGAATCAACATGGAACTAAATTAAGCTGAATAATGGCACTGTTGTCATTTTAGAGCCGCTTCACAACTAGTGGGTGTAATCGTAGTTGATCTGTGATCCATACAGACCAAGCCCCACGGTTCGGCACGCATGTGATCTGCGGATTAATTGCAAAATGTTACTATGATCTGATTATGCTTATGATGCTTTTGGGAAATGTTACTCATGAGTTAGTGATTGCTTTGTGAGTTTTGTTTTTACGGATTTATTAAATGAATCGGTTTACAGTAATTTGATTGTGAATCAGACTACACTGGCCATGCTGCTAGTTTGTTATTGCATGCAAAAACAAAGCACAATGCAATAGAAAAAAATTGTTTATTAAGTTATCTCATTACAATCCCTTCAGAGCGTCAGGTCTCAACTCAAATGAAATAGAGCCTAATTTGTTTTGTTGTGGTGCCCGCAAAGTTATTATGGACACATGCACGCAGACAAAAACAGAAACTGAGCGGCGTGTGTCATTTCATCCGCTGATTATCAGAAAAAGGCTGCGTGAGATTAAAGAATCGGGTGTCTTTTATCTTCAGCACGTCTTGCATCATTTGCCAGTTGATTTGGACACTAAACATGGAAAGCCTATCAAAGAAAAGCATTAGTATCTCACTTATCCTGCACAACGTTTACATCCTACAACAGAAAGAAGACTTCGTGTGCTGTTAATTAATTGACGTGTACACTTGGATGGCCATGTTTATAGTGAGCTGTTTTTGCTGTTTACATTATTGTTAGTTATTAGTTATTTTGCATAGTTTTGGTTAAATGCTACTTTTATGCTGGGGTTAAATGTAGATTCAGGACTATGCCCTATGCCTTGCTGTGTTATATTGTCAATATAGCGATGGCTGTAACTAGGGCTGGACAATAATTCAATATCAATATGTATCGCG